GTTGTAACTTTGCAATTTTGTATTACGGTTGTTCTGTAACCAGTGTTGCAATAATACGTGTATGGGTGGATTTAGAAAGGTATGTACTGGAGACTATACCCAAATGGAACCTATGCATAAGGTAGCCAGAAGAGCATACCAGAAGCTGATAAGAAAATGCTGGCGTCCACACAAGGGTTGGGATATATCCAAGTAAGGAAAAGGTCCTGAGGAAGACTTCTTACTTCATCTGAGGAAGACTCCTTACTTCATCAGGACGACCACCAGAGGGGGCGGCACAAGCGCAGAAGAGGATGATCTCGTAATAAATTGATGTAGCAATCTTTGATGCATATGTATTAGTCAATGATGTAATCTGTGTTGAATATGTATTAGTTACGAAATTTTAGTGTATAAATTGCGAATGCGATGTGACGGGAATCGGAACCAGATTTGGGTGCGTACCCCTGGTTCCCGGCGCCTCAATAAAGCACCTCATAGAACCATCCCGGTGGTTATGTGTTTGTCTCGACGCTAACATAGAGGTCCCTCCCAATATAATTTGATCATAAGTCATGTTCTCTGTGTATATCAAAAGGGTTAAAAGTTTTCTGAGCTTGTCAACCTGTTTCTTTTCAGGAAGCTCTGCTGCTAGATCACACTCTCTTTTATCCTTGGTTTTCTGGCTGCTGCTTTTCAACAGCCTCTCCTCCATCCCCTTTGCCAAGTAGTCATTCTCAATGGATAGTCCTAGATCTTTTTCAGACAGCACCGTCATTCTCAATGGATAGCCCTAGATCTTTTTCAGACAGCACCAAAGTGATGTTAATTTACTCTCTGTCTACTCTAACCAAACTGAAAATAGCAGCAATGATATTTATTTCACACATAAGCCACCTGGTGAATTTATGAGCAGCAGCAAGAGTCTTCAAGTCATCATTTAATGGTCACAGTGAACATTAAACTTGTTTACAGAAAAACTTTAGATATAAACAAATAAAAATAGGTACTCAGAGCTTACATTCATTATTAAGACTGATAAAGAGGGCACTGCTACTCCCCACAGCTGAGGAAATTGCTTCCATTTCCTAGGCTTATATTATCTGATAAATCTATAGTGCCTTCTTCTTTTGTAATGCTCTGCCATATAAAATGACTCCTACCAAAATGATAAAAAAACCTAACAGAGGTGGAATTTGTTTTCTGCGTTGAAATAAATGGAAAAAATAATTGGATTAAAGGTAGGCTTCAGAAAAAATATAATCTGTGATTATAACCCATAGCACACAAGACTCCATTATGATTTTTCTTTCTGCTGTCTTTATGAACATTTATATGAGAACATGCTATAAAGTTTAGAAGGATTCTAAAGCAATCAACATGAAAATGCAAATTTAAGTTATGTTCTTATTTAAATAAAAAAGCTAATTTCAATATGTACTTACTGTCTACTAAAACACAACTTCCTGGAGCCTTAAATGCAGAACATTTCTTGTTGCTCAAATATCCAGGAGTGATAACTGTAGTTGAGGGTCGTAAATTTAAAGCTGTGTAGCCTTCCTCATCCTCCATCGCCAGCTCGTCACACTTCTTTCCTGCAATAGCAATACCTTGGGAGTAAGGGTACACTGCAGCACGATCAATGCTGAGACAATGAGAATAGTTCATTTTTCAGCATTTTCAGGAAAACCACGGAGGAAGCTGGCTCTAGTCTGATTACTGTGTCATAGTAAAAGTGTAACATGTTGAAAGCACATTAAGAAGTTAAAGTGGCAGTGTTAAAGATGGGTATTTTGTTCCTGAATGTGAAAATGGGAAGGCTTGTTTCCTGGTCAGAACTTAAGACTGTTTCATTTAACTATCCACCTGATCTGACTCTGGAATATCAGGCAAATATCAGGATTTTCTACATCCTTAAAATAAGATGCTCTAGAAATAGTTGCTATTTTGAGTTGTGGTTTGAAAGATATCTGTTCACATATCAGGGCACAAATATAACCACAAGAGCTGCATGGAAAGCAGCAGGCTGAATCTCCATACACTGTTACGAAATAAATGAAAAATTAATTTACAAAAATTCACTGAAATAAATTCTAGAAGGGAAAAAGCTGAGCTGAAAGGATGCTGAGGCCAGGAGCTCAGCATGATTCACATGACTGCTCAGCCTGTGTCAGGGGAAGTCCAGACTTCACTGAGCTCCTTTCTGCTGTTGTACCGTACGCAGAAGTCACCGTGCAGAAGTGGCTTGCCCATCCTCTCTTCATCTCTAGCTCTCTGCAGTGCCTTGATCCAGTGCTGAGTTGTAGTTCTTCAAAATCTTCAGTGACCAGCTCTCCTTAAACAGAGCACTTGTCCAGACATGATGAGTCACATTGTGGTGACTTGATGGAAGGAAATTCCTCTCTTGCAAGAGAGGAATTTCTGTGGTAGCTCTTCGTGCTCTTGTGTGTAAAGTTCAAATTCTTCCATTTGCAAAACAGTATCAACAGCCTGGAAATAAACTGTAATACAGTCCAATGACTGGGCTATTCCTCCTTTGCTTTGCAGATGGTGAATTTTTTTCAGAGCAAAAGTATCTCTGACTGCATGTATTTCTTGTATTATATCTTACCTGTATGCGGAAAGAAGGCAGGAAGGAAAAGTTGGGAGTAAAGGGTGCTTACAGTCAGTTTTGTTATACAGAGAAGCAACCAAGGAATAACAAGGAATAGCAGTCACTGTGTATTTGTGGTATACCCATAATATCCTCACAGAAACCTCATGCTAATATCATGCAAAAATACTTGTTTATTGGGCCTGAAAACTGTATGTTGGCACCCTAGTGTAAAAAAAGGCTTTTCTGCAGATAACTGGGATTCAAGTGTGAGCTACTGAATTTGGTTGACAGCTTATGTGGCTGTAACTTCTTCAGTCTTAGCAACAACTTCTCAAGTCTGTAATCAATTGTCTTTGGGGGAAGTTCTCCAATCCGATTTTACTTCTGAAAACAGGAGGTAAAGTAATTTTCTTGTACCATTTTGTTAGCTCTGAAGTCAATAAGCAGTCTGTTAGTTATAGCACTTCATCATCACGCTCTCTGTCATTTAAGGATGCAGAGCAGGCAAAATGTCTTGTTTCTTCAAACTGAAAAAAGGTAAACTAAGGCAGAAAGTTTGGGTCTACATTTGAACACTCATATAAATATTGTCAGCAGGCTGGACAAAACAGCTGTTTTTATTAACCAGAGTGTGACCTAGTAAATTGTATTAGCTGGAGTCTATGACTGGGGGGATTGGAAAGGGGCATGGTAAGGAGTGGAATTTAGATATGGAAAACACCCTGTTGTAGGGAACTGTGATTCAAAAATGCCATCTCAGCCAATACACAAACAGTACATTTCTGTGTTTTTTCTGCTATAAAGAAAAGTTAATTTCAGTGGAAAAGGGGATACAGACAGCACATCCTTAAAGCCTTTGTGATTACCCCACAACCAGGGTATACGCTTTGCCAGCCTCAAGCTTGCTGGACAGGGCTGTTCACCGCTAGACTCTGAATGCCTGCAGTGAATGGTAGGATACTGCCTCTCTTTAATTTGGGGTGATTTTTACTTTATTTCTTTTTTTCTTCCTTTTATTATTTTTTTTGTGTGTGTGTGTTTCAGACATTGTTTCACACTGTGAAACCATACTCTAACCCCACCTGCCTTTACAGTTACAAATACAGTCACTGCACTGGAAACTGGTTTTGGACTGGCAGTAAATTGACACAAAAGGTCAAGGCAAAGATATGATATAGCCTTTTGGCTGCTTGTCAGCGTGCAGAGCTGTCAATCTCAGGACGTTTGTCTTCCACATACTGCAAAACCACCCAGGATTAGCCCATCTGCTCCTTGTTTGTCTTCCACATACTGCAAAACCACCCAGGATTAGCCCATCATGCTCCATTTTATTAACATGGATTGTTAATAAAAAAACATCCTGGAAACATCTTTCCTGTTTCTTCACAGTCACTCTAACATAAGAGAAAACTTAAAAGGTCAGACTTCTTTTTTTTTTTAATTTCCTTCTTTCTTTTTACTATTTCTGCAAATTAAAGCAAAGCCCATCGTTATCAAGAAAGAATGCATCATGAATACAGTTCAGAATACCTTCCACATATAAAGCTTGTATGAATGCAGAGAGAAACTCCAGGAAGTCAGCAGGGCTGTGTCTGCATGACAAGACAGAAGCACTGTGCATTTTCACCCCCAAAGACAGGAGCAGATAGGAAAAGTTATGTTAGAGATGCAATTGGTGAATGCAAACAGCAGACAGGAAAAGAAATCCACTAAGGTTTCCAGAGTATGAAACTCGTATTTGAAAATAACACCCAAAATGTTCATGTTGGTGATCAGAAATAGTTGCGTAGTGCTGAGAGCAGTGAGACACTAGAACAGCCTCTTGAAGAATATGACTAATGCTTCAGAAGCCCAGCTGCTACACCACTGGTAGATGGTCCACAATAAATAATTTGGGATGAAATCCTCAAGGAATGCACAAGTCTCCAGAGGGGACCAAGCTAAGAAATTGTGGACTTTTTGTTCAAATCAAAACACAGTTATGGGAGTGAAATTTCTCATTTCAACTTGACTGTCATTGTTCTATGGAGATGTGGAGAGAGACATTTTGTTCATTAACACTGCTTGGGATATTTTCACTATGGTTGGGTTTGTAGACTCTTCCTCAGCACATTAAATTAGCAGCATGGCATTCCAGGAAATATCTAAAAATACATAATAGCAGGTTCTGTTCATGCCTCTGACTCAAACCCGGTGTAACTCTTCAATAGATTAAAAAAGTAGAAAATCAGAAAAGTAGAGAAGAAGAGCAGAATTATTACTAGGAAAAAAGAAAAAGGGAAAAGAAGGGTGTGTGTGTGTGTGTAAGAGAACTAACAGTGTCAGGAAGAGGTATAGAACACGGTAAAGAGCTTAACATTTATAGCCAAAGGGTATCTTCTCCTGTGACACATGCACAAGCCCTTATGAGGACTATGAATCTCTGTGCTTGTCCCTGTACTTTTTTTTCCTGGCCATCACTTTTGGCCATTTTGTCCATCAATTGTGTTGGTTAAAACTAAGTAATCATTTGGCCGTGTTCCATCTGGAATGACAGACTTGGGGTGCTCCTGGAGCCTGCCATCCTGCCCATTTCCTTAATATGAAGATATTTTTACATGTCTAAAAGAGAATGAAAACAGGGAAATGCATTAGGGCTGATAACAACATATTTAAATTCTCATGTGATAGTTTTCAAAAGAAAATAAAAAATTCCAACCTTGCGGAACATCTTCTAGCTTCTCATAATCATTTGATCTGACAAACCAGCCCTCCTGACAAGAGTTGTTACATCGCTGTAATTGGATGGCAGGCTTTTCACAGATATAGCGAAGCTCTTCTTTACATGATTTGAAATATATGGTAGTATAATAAACCGATCCACAGCCCTGGTAGTAGTACCTAGGCTTTACCCTAGGAAAGAAAAATCTTTATTTTTACATTGCACCTCTTCATATGGTGCATCCTTGCCTCTTGCAAAAAGCTGTGTTTTCAAGAACTCCTTATGTGGCTTTCATGAAGAATATATATCCCCAGCAATAAAACGAAGTGTTTAGTGTTACCATGTACCAACTTCTAGGAGGCTGACCCTGTCCTGAACATGCCAACAAACACCGCCAGAGGAAAATAAGTGTGAATCCTAAACCATTTCTTGTGCCTGGCAGTAAGAATCACTAACTCCTGGGTACTGACTGGAGGCTGTCAGTGGCTGTTTCAACAGAAATGCTAAGAGGAGACTGCCCAATGATGAAAAGGGAAATCGGTAAAGCAGGTTTGAAAGCAGGAAGAAAAATATATTGTATTTCTGAAATAATACATTAAACCCAAGTGAAATGAAATGGTTCTAGAGAATAAATAGTGCCTTTTATGAAAGTAACAAGATATAAATCAAAAGCATGAAATGAAACAACTCTCCACTGGATATTTACCTTGTCTCCTCACTGAAACAAGATGTCAAATATAAGAGAAACATATGACATTTATGGTCTATCTGAAAGTAACTTGTGGAAATAGACTTTCTAGATTTTTCTTTTTTTTTTTCCCCCAGTAATAGTGCCTCCAATCGCCCTCCAAGCAGTTCTGGATGAGGCCAAGAAAAATCTGAAATGGAAAAGTGAGCCTCACATTACAGAGAGAGATGCATGAATGTTCAATGTTCAACTTGCCCTTTGAGTCACAGAAACCGGGAGTTGTATGTGGGTGAGGACCAACTTTATGTACTTCAAGAAAGATGCCAGCTTACCAAGACTTCTGTTGTTCTGTAAGAGTGGTGTTGTCTGCCCAATACCAGATACTCTGCTCAATTCTAAATCCAATCCAGTATTCTACTTCAGGGAAATATTTTGTCAATTCCTATGCATAGTAAGGACAATTCAAAATGGATATTTAGGAATATATTAAAACCAAATATTTAGGTTCAGAAGTTGAAATCAAAGAACATAGACACCACAAATTGTTCCACCTGTCAGAAAAAGTGCTGCACTTAGATGTTCTTACATTACAAGTTCTGTCTAGTCTCAAAGTGAAAATGACAGTAGAACTATTTCTAGTAGGAGAGAACATGCACTTCTAGCTCTGAAGAGCAATGTCACCCTCATCAAGCTGATATAAACCCTCTGGGTGAAACACTAGATCATTCTCCCCCCTTTAGTCATGAATCATTCTTCCTTCTTGACTCTGTCCTTAGCATTTGTGAACAGCAAAAAGGAAGCCTCTGCAGGGAGCTGTTCTCTTGGGTTTGTTGAACTGTCACACTTGGCTCTAGCATCATTAACTTATTCCCAAAAGCTGGAACATGACAAGTAGAAGATGTCTTAGAGTTAAGCAATATTCTAGTCTTAAAAAATGCTCTGAGCAGAACGGGTAAGAATGCAGATTTGAATAATGCTGGTTTTCTCACTGCTGCTGGAGGAAAATGTCTAAAGATTTGAATTCAATTTTTCTGTTATTCTCTTCCTTCCTTCACATATCACTGTCACCCCGAGTGCACGTCTCCATTTTCTGTTTTGTTTCATACCTCTCAATGATTAAGACAGCTAGAACAGACTGCACTTCACAATCTCTGCTGTCACCAGTTTGCGAGGGTGAGAATTACGCTGCTTGCCTTTACTCCTGGGACAAACCTTATAGCCTGTAGCTCAGTGAGAGGGAAACTGGCATTTATCAAGTGCTGGAGAGCAGGCAGGCTCAGTCCTGACTGCTAGCTCTCGGGACAACTTTTCTGCTTTTTCTTCCAATGCATCTGCTGGCATTCAGAAGCAGAAGAATTATTTCACTCTGAACCTAGAATTTTCTCTTCCCAGCTCAGCTTGTTTTCATTTACTAGAAGATTAGGTCAGGTTTCAGCAGCTCATTGCTAATCCTGACTGAAAAGATGAGATCAACTTTTGTGGAAAGAAGTTCTGCAAAATGGGCAAGACTATGGTTTGCCTGAGGAAAAAAAAAACAGGTTAAAAGAGGTTTTCACAGAAATATCTTTACCAAATCCTCGTATGGATCTGCAATACTGGTAAAATTAGTGAAATCATTACCTGCAGCAAAGCAGCCATGAACCTGCTTTCACCCTTCAACCCAGTAATGCCAGCCATGGCAAGCCAAGGCAAAATGGGCTGTTCCTGATGGCCAGCCACTTGAAAGGCCACGCTCTGTGTGGTGTAGACCAGTTGTATGCCTTAGCATTGCCCAGGACAACCCAATCACTGTAGAAAAAACTTCTGCTCATGGTGCCATTTAAGAAAATTTTATGTGAGGCAAGTAGCTGATAGGGTGTAAGAATTTCCTCCACACTAAACAGAGTGAGAAACCAGTCCATACCAGCTTTTCTTTCTGCTTAATCAGAAGAAGAGTAGAGTTTTGTGAGGAACATAGTTGGAGACTCTGTTTCCACGACTTCTTTTCCACGGAGTGGTAGTAACACGTATCACCACCTTTCCAGTTCCAGTTTGTGGGGCAGAGTACGCAGTTCTGGCCTGGAAAAGAAAAACCATCACCCTATTTCTGTTCCCAGGCTGTTCCTTATAGAACATCACTGTTAACCTCTGACAGCAAGATATGTAGGGACTGATGATATTTGAGGTGTTCCTCATTCAGTCAAAATCCTATTGTGGTCCCAGAAGTTTACGGTTCAGTTAGTAACAGAGATGAAAACTGAACCACCCCCTTATCTCTCACATTCCTATAGCACTGAGAAGAGGTTCAGGTGTTGCAAAAGGAGCGTGACCAGCAGGTTGAAGGAGGTGTTCCTGCCTCTTTACTCTGCTCTTGTGAGACCTCACTTTTTGTATCGTGTGCAGTTCTGGTGTCCTCAACATAAAAAGGACATGGAACTGTTGGAACAAGTCCAGAGAAGGCCCACAAGGAAGATCAGGGGACTGGAGCAGCTCCCGTATGAAGACAGGCTGAGGAAGTTGGGGCTGTTCAGCCTGGAGAAGAGAAGGCTGCATGGAGACCTCATAGCAGCCTTCCAGTATCTGAAGGGGGCCTATAGGGATGCTGGGGAGGGACTCTTCATTAGGGACTGCAGTGACAGGACAAGGGGTAATGGGTTAAAACTTAAACAGGGGAAGTTTAGATTGGATATAAGGAGGAAGTTCTTTCCTGTTAGGGTGGTGAGGCACTGGAATGGGTTGCCCAGGGAGGTTGTGAATGCTCCATCCGTGGCAGTGTTCAAGGCCAGGTTGGACGAGGCCTTGGGTGATATGGTTTAGTGTGAGGTGTCCCTCCCCATGGCAGGAGGGGTGGAACTAGATGATCTTAAGGTCCTTTCCAACCCTAACTATTCTATGATTCTATGATTCTAAATGAGATTAATTTTGCCTAATTTTAGGAGTCTACAAAGGTGACATGAATCAACTCATTTGGGTTCCCATTTTAGTCAATGGACAGAAGCAGGCTTGTCTCATGCATGGTTTTCCTGACATTCTAGATGTCTTTCTTGGGAGAAAACAGGCTGCATCCTTGCACTACCAGTTTCTCTTCATTAACTAAAATGGACGCCCAGACAATTAGATTTATTGTGAAATGATATCTGGACAAATGAAATCCCCCTTCCTGACAGCCCTTTGCCTGATTCCTACTAGTGGTGTCTCAAGAGAACTATTTCTCTGGCAGGCTCGTTGTCAGATGCCACTTAAATAACCAAGCTGTTGCAAACTGATTTCAGAAACAGCCCTGAACTGTACACGGTCAGGAGACAGGGAGTGAACTCACAGGCTGGTTTAGCTATGCTTCAGCACACTTCAGTTCTGACTTTAGGAGATTCCTGTCTTTCCTGGAGTTGGTACTAGCATACTGTCTTTTGTACGGACTGCTGTTCACACAGAGTGTAATAAAGTTGTTCAATTCTCAGTCACTACTGTAAAATTGTCTATTAGATGCAGATGAACAATACTGTAGAGATCTGGTGCTGACGGGAGCAGGCATATCCAGAAGACATCCCACAGAACCCTTTTCTTATGGAAACTAAATTCTGAAACCCTGGTGCTACTGCCAGGTCCCATGCCAGTTCACATGCGACGAGGCTGTGAGCCTCCCTTCAGGTGCTGCATGAGGAGATATTCTCGTTGCCTACATTCTAGGTGATGACATATAAGAAGACACAGGCTTACCTGAGGAGATAGACCTGAGTGGACACAGAAGACATATCTGATTTCCTTCCCTGCCATTTTGAAAGATAAGCCCTCATAAAAACTTTTTGATTTACCATTATTTTCAAGGTTCGTTTCCCCTTCCAGGCATAGCTGATTTCCTATTGCTTGCAGCACGTTGGAGAAATTTGCATGCAGCTCATTCTTTGTCATGTTGAGGTCTCTAAGTTGTGTTCTGTAGTCCTTAGAAATCTGGAAAACTAATATTCACAATAATACATTTTCCAGTGCTGTCCTTCAGAAAGGGTGGGACGCAGATAAGGGATGTCTTAGCAGATCAACAGGGATAAATAAACCATTTGGGATGCTAGTCATCCCTGAACAGTTGCATGTAAGGGCAGAGATGGAAAACCTTTGCATAGTGGGTTTCGTATTATTGGCCTAATAAGTGAACAAGAAGGAAGTGAAGAAGAAAATTAAAGTGTCACTTTTCATCATTTATTTCCATGGTGTATCTTTCTCTTATATCAGTTTCCAGGCTGTGTTTTTTCCCAAAATGTGATCTTCATCTCTGGATCACATTGAACCATTGCAGTTGGGAAGTAATATACACAACCTCTTTACTGTGACACAAAGTTTTTTCCTTCCCTTCAGATCTAATATTATCAAAGAAGAATTCACTCCATCATTAGTCAGTACAGCAGGATAGTGGATACAGTTTTTAGGAGACCAAACAATGTCAATCAGAGCAAGCAGTGAATCTTCTACTCCACTCCTTTCCAGTTCCTATCCTCATTGCTCATTTTTAACGTCATCACGTCAAGAGGAGGACAAGGGTACCCCAGCAAGGGAAAATACATGATTTGCATGGTTGCCTGTTCCCAGGTGCACCAGAAATTGCACCTCAAGAAGATGTTAGTCTGATGTTATTTAGTAGCTTGAGCCCTTCAGCAAACAGAAATGCATTAATACTTACATAAAACTGCCAGGGTCACCAGCGCCATCAGCAATGTCAGGCACAAAATGAGCAAAATCAGGACTGCTGGCCAGCAAGAGCGGAATGAAGTGGGAGATCCTGGCAGGAATTCATGAAATGGAAGTGTGGTAAGAAGGGAATGGTGAATGCCTCATTAAATTGCAGCCATCTTTGTGGTGTGTTGGTCGATAAATAATTGCTTTTACTTTACAGTTGCATATTCCTGCTGCAGAACGTCTGCACGCAGCAAAAGATGCACAAACAAAGTAAAAGTGAGACATCACAACAGTTCAGTGAAGAATGTGGAACAGCCTTGGTCCTTTCAGAGGCCACAGACGGTAGCAAGACAGATATTGAGAAAGCAAGATATTGAAAAATAAAAGCTGAAAAAAAGCACACAATGTATGGTTGTGGCAATTCGTGATGCGTGAAATTTATCTGGTAATCTGGTTAATTTGAGTGTTACAGTTAACTCATAGTAGTTTGAAAATTATTACTTCATAGTAGTTTGAAATTTCTATCTAGGAATAACCAGAAAATTTTTCTGTAATAAGGATTACAGCCTAGATATAAACATGAGGACTCAGTGAGGAGAAAAAGGAACAATTCTTTTCCTGAGCAAAGAAAATTTTAAGCATGTAGGTCATCCATCATTATAGAAACTGGAAGATTTCATAGGTGGAGATGCACCAAAGAAGAGAGAAAAAGCATTCAGTCAAGGAAGCACTAATTCTAGGGCAAATACTAAAGTTGCCACTGTATGAACTTTGTGGAGAGCTGCAACCAGCTTGACTTAATCCAATAAAGGCAGTAGATAGGGAATGTGGAGAGGAAATAATTAGACTAGAAAAGGAAAGGGCTATTTAAAATTGGGGAGTGAGCTGCTTAAAGAGCAGGAACTTAAATTTAGTGTGTCAAGCTGAAGGAACAGGAACAGAAACTATGCAGTGTGTCCTTCTTACAAATAACTTGTGGTCAACTTCTGTGGTGAAGCAGTCCTGGGCAGAATGTTGTACAAGACTTCACTCTGTAGAAACTCAAGTTGATGAATATTCAAGTGAAAGATTGAGCAATGGATGTTGTCTTGAACTGGTACACAGATCACCACAAACCCCAGGTCTTTTCCAACTTCCACAGCCAGCCTGTTCCCAGTCTGTACCACTCACTGCTGGGATTAGGTAACACTGCACAATTTGTGGAGCTTCATGGGGTTTCTGCTCACCTAGTCCTCAAGTTTCTCAAGGTTTCTCTGTTTGAAGCTCTAGCACTTGATAGCATCAGCTACTAAAGAAACCCTAAATCCCTAATTTAATACTGTTAGAAATTTGCTGAAGACACACTCATTTTTCTGGTTGTTGATGAAGATTTTAAACAATACAGAATCAGGATCTGCCCCTGAAAGACCCCTGAGGGACTCTGCGACCAAACAGATATTGAGACGTTAGTTACTACCCTTTCAGCCTTGTAGTCTATCCAGTTTTTAATCCACTTAACAGTTCATCATTCAGCCCTAAACCTCCTCAAGTTTTAAAATGACAATACCATAAGATCTACTCACAAAAGCCTTGCTAATTATATATCTGCCACTCTCCATGCATCTGTATGCATGGAGAATGCATACCCCAGAATGTACCATCAGTCTAAGGAAGTGCTCTAACTGCTTGTTATTGCGTAAAAGAGAAATACCCAGAAGAGAAAGAACACCTCCCTTCCGCATTATTTTCCGGAGTCTGATCTTACAGACATGTGACAGAAACACTCAGAGATAAAGCCTGCATAGAGGAATCACATAGATCATACCAAGGATGCTTTGATTTGTGTTTTTAACATCAAAGTGCTTCTATACATGCTCTGAAGCTGGATATTATGAGTTTGGAGAGCTTCAGTAATAGAAATTTGACCCCCTAAGGCAGGCTGCTATATAGACCCATATGTATTGGAGCTAAAGGGCAAAGAAAATATTGTTCCTACCCCTACAAAGTCACAGCCCTAAGCTGAAGACTGAAAGCGTTGTAGTCTATGCTTCCTGGAGCTTTTAGATGAGAAGAAACAAAGATTCTGTATTTGAAAGTAAGATTTCATAAACAGCTACAAAATATTTTCTGGGCAGCTTTATGAATCAAAATGCACACTCTCTCAGGATGGTGCTCTAATCACAGGATATGTTCTCTACTTGGGACAGAGAAGCAGGATATCTGGAGTTGTATGAGTATACTGGCGTCACTGAACATTAAAGGAAAAGAAGCCCAGAGCTTAGCACAAAGACAGGTTAAATTTTAACTTTTTGTTTGTTTGTTTTTAGCCCCTGAATTATACTTTGGCAATGCTCAAAGCTAGAACTTGACAAATTTCAAAAAATGTAACAAAAGTTAAAAAAAACATAATAGCTTTAGAAACCACTGCTCTTTGATACAGAATTTCCTAGAGAATTCTGAATCACAAGCAAGTTGTCTCCTTGCTTATGAACCTCTGCTCCAGAGGTTGACAGCACCCCTGTACACTTTCTATGTTCTTTTTTTTCCAGGAGTTGCACCACTCAAATCTAGAGCTCATCTTTGCAATTTAACACAAATTAAGCAAAATTAATTGCAAGTTAGTATTTAAAAAAGTATTTTGAATGCATTCACCCCTTTAACAGACATAGCCATTTCAAAGACCCATCTTAATTCAGCCCAGAACTTTAGAAGTGAAATAGAGTGAGTCAGTTAAAGCTTATTCAGTTGTAAGCTTGAATGCAAATGGATAGAGAAATTAAATTGAAATAATTCACTTTAAAAAATAGTTCAGGTTAACTCTTTTGAGATTTAGACAATTAGGACTGTTTGTAGAGCTTAGTATAACGCTCAGTAATAAGTTTTATCATGAAATAATAAGATCACTATTTCACTTTCCAAACTCAGAAGATTCAGGCAGAAATGACAACAACAAAAACCACGGTAAATTTATAACTAGTATAACTTTTTGACAATAGCAAAGCTAACAAAAGCCACCTTGTCTTATAACTAGAAGTATTTCCCATCCCATCCACTTTAGCAAGAATAAGTAATGAAAGACTGATAGATACTACACCTTTTTCCTTAGTATCTTTGAGCTCTGTGATATTATCCAGTTCATGGTTGTTTTTAAATCTGAGATTAGCATATGTTACTTCTGTCATAGCTGGTAAAAAGAAAAGCTTCAGAACAAAAAGGTAGAAAAAGATCTAGCATTGGCAGCTAGTAAGAAAATCTAGCCCTTTGCACAGGTTCCTGATACTGGCAGGCACAAATGAAGCAGCTGAGACATCAAAATACATCTGAACTTCCTTGATCACAGTACTGTTAAAGAAAATGTTCCTCTCTCACTCATTGCTATATTCTCTTTCTTCCTCATTGCCTCCCTTCTGCCCTTCCTGACTGGCACGTATTTCTTTCTGCCATTGTTGAAGAATACACAGCCACTTTTCTACAACTTCAACTTTGGATAGACAACACCTAATTCCTAGGTTCAGGCTTGAAACACAGAACTAAATAAAATGTTTTCCAGCTTTGAAGATGTCTCAGTTTGGACAGCTGTGTTCAGCAGCAGTTTTGTGATCACACTTCAGTTTCTGTTTCCTATTGGAATGTGCAGAAAGCAAACCAAAAGGTGGACTTGCATCTTAAAGCTGGCAAATTATGCTCTCATCCAAAAGATGTAAGCACTTGAGCTTGAGGTTAGCACCTCAGCTAGGATACACCAAGGTATTGGCTCTTGCCTTCCATACCATCTTCCCAAAGTGATTAGCCTGGGATTTCTGTGTCACCAAACTAGAAGGACCTCTTGACAAAGGCTAGATCTCAGAAGATATTTACTTTCCCTCAGTTTTCTGGTTTTGATATTTTATTTCTATTTCTGGAAGAATTTTCTTTATCCTTCATTTCTTCTCCAGATCTATGGCATGAGGAAAAGCATACAGTCAGATTTTGAGACTGCACAGGAAAGTAAGTCTTAAAGAAAATACATTTCATGTATCTCCCTTGAACAGATGGACACAGCTACTGCTCTCTAAGGTGAACACACAATTCTTTAAGTTCATCAAAGTACTAACTGAGCCCAACCCCGCTTGCTACTTCCCCCCTTGGAAAGTTTTGAAGATCATTTCAGTACTTTTATTCTAACATTGTTGATTCTTGCTCATCTTTTTGTCTGGCCACTGTTTGGATAATCATTCTGTTAAATGCAGTCTTACTCTTTATTTGCCTTTTTAAACAATAGTAGATCAAAATAATTATTAAAAAGATTGTCAACATGGCTAATGCAGTGCTAATCAGTGATTTTATCCATGAACTCAGGTTCCATCCTTATCCCTTGAAGATTTTATCTCTCCAACTTTCTTGTATGTCTTTTTGGAGCCTTTGAGTATTCTCTTCTACCTTTAACAAGAAATCTAAGTTATGTTCCACATCTCGAGTCACATTCAGAATATGTATACAATAATAAGTAATTCTACCTTTTAAGTAGCCACAATCCCCATGATCTTCAAGTAAGACCATATCCCAAAACCATTCTGTTTCATAAAGCCATCCTTGAAGTTGCCTGTAATTGTAAATTCAAGTCCTTAAATCCTTTTCTGGTTGCATTTGCTAGCTTTTCTACTTGTCCTGTTAGTTGGTAAATGCATTCCCTATTCTATATTGCTAAAGGAGTTAGCAAAGGCTCTAAAGCCCAAACAAATTTCACTCCAGTTTAAGGTTCATTTCATTCTTCATCTATTTCTGACCTCTTCACCCATTCCAATTTTAAATTTTCTAATGCTCCTCTAAAAGGAGTTCTTTTCCAGGTTGGACATGGAGTCAGCATGCCTCATGTTATTTGTTTTCCTTTACCATCTAAAGGGAAATGAGTTATCCAGGTCTCATCACTCATTGTCCACACTAAGTGTCCTGGTCTCCGGAGTGCAGATTTCTTTGCAACTAAGCATTGTTTCTCTTTTGGGTATGTATATCTCAGTCAATTTGAGGTCATTCCTAAGGCCCCTACACAAATGTCCGTTTTTTAAAGCAGCAGCTAAAGGAGGACTAGTAGCCTAGATCGCCATAGCAGTGCTATTAGTTAGATACCTTTTCACACTTCCATCAAGACACTCTGTTTTCCTTTTCTCACCATGAACTACTCCTATTCTTTACATTTGGCCAGGTTGCAAAAGTCATTCCATCCCAAATAAAACACCAAGGTGCCTTAGCCATGGATCGAAATGGAGATAAAATGGCCATAGTTTACCAAACAGAGTCCCAGTTTGCCTCGTTTTTTTTGTGTTGGACTTGTCTCATTACATTTTCAGTCCATGACCATTCAACTCACATTTCTTGTTCATCATAGGAGCACCATCCTACAGTCTTAGATCCCCCTGTTTTGGTAAAGCATAATTTAACAATTTCTCACAGTCAGCCCAACTATCCGGGGATTTCCATTGTTTCCGAATGGTTTCTGTTTGTTGTTGCCATTCAGCCACAGGTTTTTGTTCACAAGGTGTGTTTTCATTTTTACTTAAAATTGTCAGATTCGTAGTTAAAATTCCCCAGGGGATTGATTCACTCACTGCTCTTGGAATTGTTAAACAAACAGTCATTTGGGACACTTTTTGCAAATTAGCAAACTCTTTCATTGATCCTAATATCAAATTTTCACCCCAGGTTTTTCTTGGGCAATAGGTTGATTGTTCTGTTTCTATTTGCCTTTTATTTCTTATTTCTTTCCTCCCCTTCTTTTTCCTGGTTTACTTGCCGTCTCATTAGGATTAAGGTCTGGAACTGGAGCAGAAGTCCATCCCAATTTCAAAGAGATTTCCATGTCTTACTAATTCTTCCTCTGATTCAGTTTTTACCTCAAAATTGGCTCCCACTAACATCCAAATCAATATCCGTTCTCCCCAGATTTGAAAAGGATACACAAAATTAGTATTATTTCAGAGCCAATTTTGAAGTCTTATCATATCTCTATTGACAATTTTCCACAATGGTGGGGCTTCCTTCACCCTATTAATTACTTATTAATATTCTCTATTAATATCGTCAATGTCTGATCATTAACATGTTTCAGAAACAGCACATTTCAGCCATACTACTGAAATCCAGAACGAGATTTTAAAGGTCATTCCTTACTTTTGTTAGAATTCAATATTACTTCTACTAAAAATCATGAATTTGCCAAGCAAATAGATTTATAATAAACAGAGATGCATATTAATAGTTATGAAAATGCTTTCAGCATGACTTAGCTTCTTATAAGTGCTTCAATTTGAGAACAAATTAAAGTTTCAGAATTTGTCACCAAGCAAAAGAAAAGTAAGTAATATTAAGATGCCCATTTTTTACCTGTGTCTGAAGTTTGTGAAGTAAAATACACTCTTTCCTTGGGCAATACCTCTGCATAAACCACCTCACTTGCCATTTTGAAAAGATGCTTTCAGATCTGCAATCAAAATGGACTCATTGGAGAAGTAGTACCCCATATCACACCCCTTCTGGCCTCACCCCACCCTTCATACCACATTAGGTCAAAAGAAATGTTTAAATGTCTGTAAATCGGAAGGAAATGAGATATCGTATCTTTGCTTTTTTCTTTCTCTTTTCTCTTTCTCTTTTCTCTTATCTTTCCTCTTCCCTTTCCTTTCCTTTTCTTTTTTTAATGTAAATTCTCTCCTTGTATCTTTTGATAAACATTTCTGAATTCTCAGCCACTTCTGTTGGTGCACATTCTACTAAAAGCTGCATACCTTCAATTTCTATCAACTTTCTCATAAGTTGTGACTTTCACTCCCCACATTTTCATTTGGAACCTGAGTATGTATATGGGTATACATTTGACATTGTGCCATCTTTGAGCAGTATGTAGGGAATGGAAGAATTTGATTGCTAAGGGCATTTTTAGTAGCTCTGGCCCATTGTGAACAGTCCAGTTCATGTTAATGGTTCAAGACAGTCTTCCTTTTATAGAAAGGAGGTTTTGGGCAAAGGAGACAAGCACCATCAGCTTGACCTGCATTATTTTGCACACCTGGGAAAACAGGCATGGAGTGGCCACACTCAGAGCACCTTCCCTGAAGCCAGGTCCTGCCCTTCAGCAGCAGCCTGGGGCACTGCAGGAACAGAGGACACACCTCCCCCTGGTGCCTTCTTCACCTGATCTGTCCTTGTTGGGACACCTCCCCCTTCAGGGACTGACCATTCCTCTGAGTTTTCAGGAGAAGATGCTAGGACCACGGAGGTACCTATTTCTTTCTACTAATTGAAAAGTAAAAGTAAACAGCTTAGATTTAGACACCTACCTATAGGCATCTAAATGAGCAGATTTTAGCATTAAAATATTTCTGTCCAAAGGAACACGGAAACATAGAACCATAGAATGGATTGGGTTGGAAACAACCTTAAAGGTCACCTAGTTCCAAGCCCCTTCGAGTTACAGCATCCTTCCCCTTCTAGTTGCAACATCTTCCCCTTTCCTTAGCAGGCAGGAGATGGATGATGCAGATGAAAAAGACATTTGCTTCATGACTTTACAGCCAAGATGTTCTGAGGCAAATTCTACAAAATAACACGAGGAAGGGATTTGTATTAGCACTTAGGAACTAAACTGTGCCCTCAGTGTCAGTGATGGAAACCTAGACTAAAGTTATTTGCTGTAGCATCCAAGGTTTTCGAAGACACCAGGGAAAAGAGAAAAGAGGCTCTGGAGGCACAGAAGCCAGTAATGTTCGATCACTGTTTTCCATCCTATGTATTACCAGTTGCACAGAACTGACAAAACTATTTTCTCAGTGGGTTTGGTGGAGATCATGTAAAGACTTTTTCTCATGGGTTTGGCGGAGTGGATAGGCGTAGTTCCGATCACTAGAAGGATGTTTCAAGGGGTTTGCCATCTTACATTAATCCTTTGCATTTTAATAACACAAAATAGTCACTAGATGTCTCTGCTGCACCATAAAAGAAATCAGACATCCTATTCCGTTTAAACTGGGTAATATTTTGTATGTTTATATAGCCTTTGTTAAAAAAAGAGTTTGAGTAGCATAAAATAACTTGTCAGAGATAGCCAGAATGTGAAGGAGAAAGAAGGCCTGGAAGATAAAAAATGACTGGATGAGATGGGTATTGGTTACAAATTCACGAAGCACACACGACTTCGCTGTAATCTTTTCCTAACTGAGATCAACACAGTAAAGTATTGGAGAGATACTGGGATATAACTGTGTCCCTCTAATAGAACTGTAAGCTTAAGCAGTATAAACCAATCTTGATGAGGAGGATGGGAGTGTGGGGGAAATAAGGAGTCAGTATTGTAGAGAGATG